ACCCCCCATTTATAACAAGAAAGAGATTTGGCATTCTGCTCGTTGGTTCTGATAACTCATAACTGACAAAAAATCAATCAAGTTCGCCCGTCGCGTATTGTGACGGAAATCTCTTGCAATTATTTTCACAAAAGCGAAGGAAACATCAAACTGAAGAAGATAATGTCTTACCCATGCGACCAGATTGTGTTCCCCAGCACCTCTGGAATTTTCAATAGCTTTTCTGCCAGTGATTATCTCAAGAAGAACAACTCCAAAGCTATAAACATCTGATTTTAGGGTGAGCTGACCAGTCATTGCGTATTCAGGTGCACAATATCCATATGTTCCCATTACCCTGGTGGATACATGGGTTTTGTCACCAACAGGACCCAGCTTTGCCAAGCCAAAATCAGATAGCTTCGGGTGATAGCCTTCAGCAAGTAAAATGTTTGAGCATTTTAAATCACGATAAATAACGGGTGGATTAGCTTTGTCATGCAAATACTCCAGCCCTTTTGCAGCACCTGCAGCTATCTTCATTCTTGTGTTCCAGTCAAGCTGTTTTTTATCTGGGGGTAGGTCTGGAGTATAAAAGCAAGTTAGAAGAACAATTACTAAACTATATTAGACAAAGCCATAAAAAGGAAGATAAATCTGGGACAATAAGAAAGACGAGAAAGAGAATCCAGCTCCTGAAGCACAAGCACAGGTTCTCAAGCACGACAGACCAACACAAATACAAGATTTAGTATCATACAACTTATCTCCAATAGAGAGCCTGGTATGCAGGAAAGATGATGTATGGATGATGTGATAGATTTCTTGGTGTACCAAACTTAAGGAAGAAGCTTATAAAAGATTGTTATGAAGTACATGATGTTATTCCAAATATTGAACTCTTTGATTACTTCAATCCTATAGATCTCATTGCGGAATTCATTAATTGTTAATGCTCTATTTTTTATGTTCATATTCACAAGCCACATGTAAGAGAAACTAGATCTTCAGGAAACAAGTATCAGCAATCAGTTATGAACACGAAAATATTAGCACTTGGTGCTCTACATACCATGTAGATGATCTTCCAAAGATCCTAATCGCATATACTCGTAAACCAAAAGTCTCTGATCTCCATCAGCACAATATCCAATTAAGTTAACAAGATTAGGATGGTGAAGCAGACTCAGCATCAAAACTTCGACAAGGAATTCTCTGTTTCCTTGTAGTCCATTACGGTCCAATTGTTTAATTGCTACAATCTACAAACCAAAAGCAAATAACATAGTTCAATACACTAAAAACCTACACTATGTATTGTCAAGGACATTGAAATGCAACGTGAACAATATCAACAAAGGAACATCATAACACCACGCACCCCATATTGATAGTGCTATATGAGAAAGTGATGTAGATATTTATGGCAAAAGCACCAATTGCCAAAACTTTTGGGTAATGGGCCAAGCTTGTGGTGGACTTGTCAATTTTACAAATGGTATCAAAGTTAAGCTCAGACTCATTGCCATGTTAGTGATTTGAGGATCTTGTTTGGATTGGTCTGATTATGTGTTCAGTTCCGTTTGTCTAA